TTGATGTGTGGCTTGCAGGAGAAAATTCAGCATTGAAACATTCAGGTTGAGTTGGGAATTGTTAAATGTGAATATTTCAGCTTGTGGCAGCTCACTGTGAACTCGCTGCAAAAATCCCGGTTTAAATCCACTTCTACCTGGTTAAATGTTTTTTGCCCCTGTTTTAATCCACTTTCCCCAAGTTCAAAAGTYCTGTGTGTCACGAGTGGGGCAAAACCCAGGAATGTGGGCAGAAATCAGGGTGATAAATKAGCTCCAYGAGCGTCTTTGATCTTGAGTAAGARCTGGGCTCAAAGTCTAGCCCAGAGCACGGACAGGGTTAGTCAGCACTGAGGGCTCTCTATAAAGGGTTCAAAATGTAATTAAATCCTTCTCCCAGGACTTTCCCAGCGAGTCAGGGCARGAGCAGGTGCTCTGCAGGCCTGGGGAAGTTGGAAGCTGCTGCTGGAGGGGAGCAGGACCTGGATTTGGGGAAAAGGAGATGAAGTTCAAGGATGGGATGGGTTTTGTGTCATTTCCCTACGATGYGCTGGCACAGCTGGGCAGTGAGAGAAGCTGTGAATCCAATCAGTAAAAAATGACATTTCAGTGTCCCAAACTGAGCCCTTGGTGGGGGATGCATCCTCCCTGTTGGATCCCTGCCTCTCTCCTGGAGCTGTGTCCAAGGACCTGCACCCCAAATTTGGCCATCTGAGGTGCTGTGTCCAAAGGACAGATGGTTTCTAGAGAGTTCTGTGAAGTCTGGCTGGTCATTCTATGTCCTGGGGCATTGCTGGACTCTGCTAAATTAACCCAAATCCCCCTAAACTCCCCGTCCCTTTTCTCTCTGGGCCCATGGGGTTGTGGGGGTGAAGGAGGAGTGGTGTCAGTCCCTGGAGCTCGTTGTGGTCTCTCCAGCTGCCTCTGCAGCCTTTGGGGGAAGCTGGGCCCTGGTAGAGCTCCAATCTCCATCCCCTGCTCCTCCCTGCTCTGCCCCATGCCCAAAGCCTTGGACAATTTCCTCTGATGAACCCAAAGGAATCCTGTCCCAGCAAGCCACTGCACCCCAAATGTGACTGCACCTTTGGAAAGGGGGACAGTAATTATGGTTTTGTGACAAATCACACCCGTGAATTCGCTTCACTCAAAAAAAAAAAACACTCTCCTTTTCCTTGGGAGCATCCCACCCATTTCTGCTCCATYTCCTGGGGACACTGACTGATTCCAGCGCGGTCAGGGTACAATTTTGGTGAAATTCCCTCCTGGAGAGTCCCTCAGGAACTGTGTTGGCTCACCAGGGTGGTCAGTAGGGTTTGAGAGGTTCCCATCCCCACTCATTTCAGGAGGGTTTCCCTTTAGGAGCAGCCCACGATGACACCCCACGCTGCACCACAGGAATGGGATTGGYGCCTTTGTTGAGTGACAAAAGGCAGGAAATGAAGGAGGGAAATTCCATTTCAATGGAAACCTGCACACAGCTCCCGTGCCTGCTTTTGTTGTGGGTGGCACTGAAGATCAGCACAGCTCGGGAGCAGCGAGCAGCGTTGATCCAGAAAAAATCCCTCATTATTTGTCAGGGATGTGAGAGGCAGCACTTTGGAGTCAGTCCGCTTCCCCGTGCAGTCACTTTGGAAGGGAAATACAATTACACAAACTTTAAACCCCAAAATGTTTGCAGGAGATCTGGAGGAATCCGAGTTTGAAAGCGTTTTAATGCCWTTTCCCAAACTCTGTTTCAAGTTCCTGCCTTTGGTTTTGTGAGCATTAAAACAAGTCCCYGAGGTTTGCCTGAGTGCAATTTATGTTTCGTTTGCCATCAAAAGTAATGTCTTGGGAATGGCAGACACTCAGTGAATTATTCTGAATTATTTGTGTGCAAAATATTTACCGTTAACCCCCCAGCCCAGAAAGAGCGGCGTTTAATTGCTTACACACAAAAGCTAAAGTCATCTTTTTTTTTTTTTTGTTTTTTTTTTTTTTTTTTTTTTTTTTTTTTTTTTTTTCCTGTCTGTTTGTTTTTCTTTCGGGTGTAATTACAGGAATGTGGGAAATACTTTTCCAAGGCTTTTGAACTCCAAAGTGGAACAGAAGGAAGACGCAGGGGGACATCCACCGTTCAGGGTTATTTTCCTCGCACACGAGAAAGGAGAAAAAAAAAATAAGAAAAAAAAAAAGGATCTTTCTGAGATGAGCGCTAAAGTCTCAAGTTTTCAAAGGTTTGCATAACAAACAAGAGACACATTGTGGGTTGCATCTTGACTTTGAAGGCTTGCCACTGTCAACTGAAATAAAATGGCAAGGTTTAAAGCCTTAACCAAGTTCACAAGGAAAATATTTGGACTGAAAGTTTTGGAAAGTTTTCTCTCTTTGAAGTAGTTTGTCATGTGTTACCAATGTGAACTTTATTGACCTTGAAACGTTTTTTTTTTGAATCAAATAGCAACTAGTGACACTTTAGGAAAATCTTAAATCAACAACCATCTCCTGGCGGCTCCAGCTTCGTAGCAAATGCAGGCAAAACAGGGAATCTACAGAGGAGACCTTTATTATTCGTAAATGAAGCCTGCCAAAACCTTCCCGAAATAGCACTCAAAGACCCTTTTAAGGTCATGGATCCTGAACAAAGCCAGAAGAGCACAAAAAAGGCTGAGGAAAGTCCAAGAAAGAGGCTTCCCAAAGGAGAGGCTTTCCAAGGCACTGTTTCCTCCCCAGCTACGTACCAGGGCAGCTCYGCTCCTCCCCAAGGAACCCCTCTCCGAGACATCATCTCGCAGCAGCACTTTCCCGGCTCCCTGCCCGTTCCGCGCGAGGAGCCCCAGGAGAAGCCGGGCCACCAGAAGCAGCCCAARGCCTCCTCCTTCGAGCACCCCGCGCACGTCCCGCAGCTCCAGCAGCACGCCCTGTCACCAGCATTCATGTCCCCGGGGAAGCCGGAGCACGTCCTGGAAGGTCCCACGTGGCAGCTCGTCGATCCGGCCAGAGCGGGGCCGTCCGGCTCCTTCTCGTCCCCYGCGCTGCACGGGCAGCTCCTGCCGGCCCACTCGCCCATCCTGCCCGCCGAGGACATGCCGGCCGTGCAGAAAGTCTTCATCCCCCGGCCCGCCCAGGTGTCCCTCAAGCAGGCAGAGGAGGTGCACAAGAAGGAGAAGAAGCCTCCGAAGCCGGGCAAGTACATCTGCCAGTACTGCAGCCGGCCCTGCGCCAAGCCCAGCGTGCTCCAGAAGCATATCAGGTCCCACACCGGGGAGAGGCCCTACCCCTGCATTCCCTGCGGCTTCTCCTTCAAGACCAAGAGCAATCTGTACAAACACAGGAAATCTCACGCTCACCGGATCAAAGCTGGGCTGGCCTCAGGGATCGGGGCGGAGATGTACCCGTCGAGCCTGGAGATGGAGAGGATCGGTGGCGAGGACTTTGAGGAGCCGACGGAAGGGGAAAGCACGGACTCGGAGGAGGAGACGGCGGCGATGGCGGGTCACGGCGCRGAGCTGTCGCCCCGGCGGAAGCACRCGCTGCTCTCCGGGAGCCTGCTGAGCGCAGGGAGCCAGGGCTCCAGCCACGAGCGCTGCTCGCTGTCCCATTCCAGCATGTCCCAGTCTCTGGAGGACAGCTCCCCGTTCGTGGAGCCGTCGTCGGAGCACGCCCTGAGCCATAAGTCCGAGGACACCCACACCATCAAGCAGAAGCTGGCGCTGCGCCTGAGCGAGCGCAAGAAGGTGATCGACGAGCAGGCGTTCCTGAGCCCCGGCAGCAAGGGCAGCACCGAGTCCGGCTACTTCTCCCGGTCCGAGAGCGCTGAGCAGCAGATCAGCCCTCCCAACACCAACGCCAAATCTTACGCCGAGATCATTTTCGGCAAGTGCGGCAGGATCGGGCAGAGGACGGTGGCGCTGGCCTCTAACACCACCCAGGGGTTCCCGCACCTGTCCGGCGATGAGAAGCCCAGCATGGTGCCGTTGTCCGTGCCTAGAACGCAGGTGATCGAGCACATCACTAAGCTAATCACCATTAACGAAGCCGTGGTGGACACCAGCGAAATCGACAGCGTGAAGCCCAGAAGAAGCTCTCTGTCCAGACGCAGCAGCATCGAATCCCCAAAGTCTGGCGCGTACAGAGAGCCGTTCCAGTTCGATATCAAGTCTGGCTCCGGCAGCCAGCTGGACGTGGCCAAAGCCCTGGCGTCRCACGGTGAGAAGATGAAGCCCGAACAATCATTGTTGTCACTCCAGCAATCCCACAGTGCCACAGAGACAGTGCCTCTCCTAAGAAGCCACTCAATGCCTTCTGCTGCATGCACTATCAGCTCCCCACACACCTTCCGAGGTAGCTACTCGTTYGACGATCACATCATGGAGCCCCAAGTCTTAAGCCGCAGCCAAGCGTTCTCCTCCCACCCTCGAATGCTGAAGCGCCAACCGGCCATCGAGCTGCCCTTGGGAGTGGAATATGTCTCAGAGGAGGCCGGCTCTGCTGGCAAAGAAACCGTCCCCAAACCTCCTGAGGAGCCTGAAACCAAGGAAAGCGATCTTACCAAAAAGTCCCGCAAGGGCCCCAAGGCGAAAGGGTTCATGTAYGAGTGCAACGTGTGCGGCGCGCGCTACAAGAAACGGGACAATTACGAGGCCCACAAGAAGTACTACTGCTCGGAGCTGCAGCTCTCCAAGCCCCGCTCTGCCACWTCCCACCCCTCGTCTGAGCCTGAGAAGAGCGTGGCCGACCCCGACACGTGGCCCCAGATGATGCATTACAAGTTAGGCAGCACTTTGGAGCTCACCCCGCTGCGGAAGAGGCGGAAGGAGAAAAGCCTCGGTGACGATGAGGAGCCCCCAGCTTTCGAGTTGTCTGACACCGCCTCCTCCAGCAGCGGCCCAGGCGCTCAGTTTGCAAACCCGGCCTCRTCCGATGTGGCTCTAAACCTGACCCGTGAGCCCATGAAGTCACCAGCAGACTCAGGAAAATCCGAGGCCAGCGCCAGCTTCCATTCCAGGAATACCAARCCGGCTTCGAGCGCAGAGGGCAAGGAGAGGAGAACGACCTCGAAGGAGATCTCGGTCATCCAGCACACGAGCTCCTTTGAGAAGTCAGACTCCATCGAGCAGGCCAGCAGCTTGGAAGAGGACAAGCCCTCGTCCCAGTTCCCATCCCAGCCCACGCCCCAGCACAGCCGCCCCCCTCACTCCCTGCAGCCCAGGCTGGTGCGCCAACCCAACATCCAGGTCCCCGAGATTCTGGTCACAGAAGAGCCGGACAGACCAGAAACAGAGCCAGAACCTCCTCYAAAGGAACCCGAGAAAACAGAGGAATTCCAGTGGCCACAGAGGAGCCAGACCCTTTCCCAGCTCCCTGCAGAGAAACTGCCACCCAAGAAGAAGCGACTGCGGCTGGCAGAGATGGCCCAGTCCTCCGGAGAGTCCAGCTTTGAGTCYGTGTCCCTCACCCGGAGCCCCAGCCAGGAGAGCAGCCTATCCCACGGCTCCAGCCATTCCGTGTCCTTCGATCGCGATGACCACACCAAGCCAGAGCTGAGTGGCCAGTCCTCYGAGTCCCACCCGAAACCTCCAGGCATTGGCTCCCACATGCTGATGGTCCCCAGCCACCATCACCATTCCAGGGAGATGCGGAGATCYGCTTCCGAGCAGACACCCAACGTGTCCCACCCTTCCCAGATGTCAGAGACTCGCAGCAAATCCTTTGACTATGGGAGTTTGTCGTCCACTCCCGCTTCCACRCCCGGCCCCTCCACCTCCTCGGCCCCCCAGGAGAGGAGGAAATGCTTCCTGGTGCGGCAGGCATCCCTCACCAGGCACCCTGAGCACGAGCCAGACCCGGCGCCCCCGGGCTGGCCGGACACGGAGGATGCGGCTCCTTCTTCCAGCAAATCTCCCACCATGAGCTTGCCCCGTCAGCCAACCTCATCATCCCCTCTGCCCTCACGGGGCACCTTCCCAAGTGACAAGAGCCAGCCAAAGGACAGCCCCGAGCCATCCTACAGCCCGCCCTACACAGAGGCCCTGCAGGTGTTCCACCACCCCGTGCCGCAGCTGGCGCTGCACGAGAAGCACTTCATGACCCCGCAGGTGTCCATATTCCCCTATCAGCACCTGCTGCCTCAGTCGGGGCAGTCCGCGGAGCTCTTCGCTGCCCACACCATGTCTGACATCCTCTCAGCCCAGTTCTCCATGCCCCAGATCCCTCCCTCCATATTCCAGACACCGCCGCTGCCCCTCCCGCAGACGCTCATCCACCCTGGCCCGCTGCACCTCGCTCCTCCGCTGATGTCCCACCCCACCGAGGTGTCCTTCAGGCACCCTTCCTTCCTGCCYGTGCACTACCCCGGCTCCTCCCCGATCCCCTCGGCCTTTTTCCTGCCTCTCCAGTCCCAGTTCGCTCTCCACTTGCCGGGTGATGCYGGTGGACATTTGCCTCAGATCAAGTCCAGTTTGTTCTCGGCCGCGGGAAGCTCCAGCCTGTCTCCATGCACGGATTATGACTCGGACGGCAGATTGCACCCTCTGACCTGTGCAGCRAGTCCTGCCGTGTCTGTCACAGTCACCCAGCTTGTCGTCCCCACCCGGACAGAGCCCATGGTGTCCCTGGTGGTCCCCGTTCGCATCCAGACCAACATGCCCTCCTACGGCAGCGCCATGTACACCACGCTCTCGCAGATCCTGGTCACGCAGTCCCAGTGCAGCTCCTCCACCATCGTGCTCCCCAAATTCGATGACTGCCAGCCCAAGGGYGCCCTGGTGTGCAGCGCTGATGTCCACGGGCTGGGGTTTGACCTGGCCCAGATGATCACGGAGGAGCAGAGGAGCCTTTTCCAGAGCCCGTACCTGCGCGTGCCCCTGCCCTTGCCGGAGCGGAAGGGCTACATGCCCCTCACCTGCCCCTCAGACAGCCTGGAGGGTGGCCCTGCCACTGTGGGCGGGAGCAAAAGGATGCTGTCCCCAGCCGGCAGCTTGGAGCTGACCATGGAGACGCAGCAGCAGAAGAGAGTGAAGGAGGAAGAAGTGTCTGAAGCGGAGGAGAAGCTGGAAGTGGTGAAGCCACCCAGTGCAATAGAGGAAGGGAAAAATCAGGATCAACCTCACTTTCTCACCGAGAGCCAAGAGAGGGTGGAGGCTGAGGCAGCGCCCAGCGTGTCCGCGGTGGAGCAGCCGGAGCCAAAGGAAACCCCGAGCAGTTCCCAGCAGGCCACGTCCCGGCCGCCTTCGCCCAGCTTTGAGGCGCTGCAGGAGGACGAGCAGCCCGCTGGYGAGCAGTTGCCCGGCCAGGAGCCTCTGCAGCCCGTCAAGAAGGAAGACTCCAAAGAAGCGGCGGAGCAGCCTCTGCCCAGCCCCGCCAGCCCCGCCGCCGTGCCCGAGAGCTCTGCCGGAGCGGGGAAGGCCCGGGAGGGCACCGACACCAAGAAGGTGCTGCAGTTCCCCAGCCTGCACACAACCACTAACGTCAGCTGGTGCTATTTGAACTACATCAAGCCAAACCCCACGCAGCAGGCGGACGGGCGCTCCTCGGTGTAYGCCAGCTGGTGCGTCAGCCTCTACAACCCCAACCTGCCCGGCGTGTCCACCAAGGCCGCCCTGGCCCTGCTGAGGTCCAAGCAGAAGGTGAGCAGGGAGACCTACACCATGGCCACCGCTCCGCGGCCCGAGGCGGGCAGGCTGGTCCCGGCCGGCTCCAGGAAGCCCCGAATGACTGAGGTAATGCAATCCTATCTCTTTCTCCTGATCCGTTTGGACGCGTGGGCAGAGGGGGCAGAGGGCCGGGGCGTGGCGGTGCTGAGGCTGGTCGGGGTTTACTCGTCCCGCTGGCGCTTCGGGAAGCGCGTGTTCTCGGTGAAGCTGGTAGAGTGAAGAACCCAAAAACCCCTCTGAGATCYGCACCCAGGCACAGGGGGCAGGAGAGCCTGCTCTGGGTTTCCACTCTCCAGCTTCTACTTGCCTTGTAATCCAAAAACTAGGAATCACCACCACCACCACCCCATGAGCCACCACCGCTCCAGCACAAAGGATTAGACTTCATTTGCATTTGTCTTGATATTTCAAATAGCTTTACAACTTCTTTTTTTTTTTTTTTTTTTTTTAAATGCTGTTATAATTCCCTACATTTTGCATGTTAGAAATGAGAGAAAAAAAAAGAAAGGATTACCTTAGGGAAATGGGATTCTGTCTGGTTGTGCATCTGCTCATCTCACATTAATGAACATGGAGAGGCATGCTTAAAAGTATTTAAAAAATATTAAAGGGAGATTTGCAAGTGTATTTAGGCCCCTGAAGAAGCACAAAGGCTGGCGGTGACATTTGTAAAAGTGCCTCAGCGGGTCAGACACATCCTGTTAAACACCTTGGTGGTTTGGTCCTCTCGGTCCGTAGCTGCTTCTCCAGGTATTGAAGGATATTTTACACCTGGTTTTAGAGTGAAGGCTTCACAGCGGCTTCCCAGGGGCAGARCTCCCCCAAGGCAGCGCCCACACGGGCTCAGGAGTCTTTAAGGCCTTCCTGTGAGCTGCCTAATTTTATGTATCTCATTTTAAAGCCAGTCTTTACCCCTCCTGCTTAATGCTGAACCAAACAGATCCCTTTAATCCAGATCGTGTTCATACAGATTAGCAAACAGAATCGCTCTAAAGATTTTTGCCATTTGATATTCATCTCAAGTCAATTTATATTGATGGATTATTCATTTTATTTCTGTGTCATGAAATGAACTCTGAATATTAAATTTATCATAATCGCTGCTGCAGCTGCTGCTTATAAATATGTCTTCAAATACACAGTGGAGTCGCTTTGATTCAATAAATCTTTATTTCTATTCAGCATTTCCATCACTCCCCTGCAGAAAATCCAAAAGACAGATTTCTAGGGACACAAGGGCAGATAATTACCTGAGCAGTGCAATAACCACGCTGAGATTTATGCACTATTTTTCCAAGGGTTTTATCTGAGCGGTGTCGTAGCATCCTCGATTTTCAATCTCTAAAGGAAGTGCCTGCGCTTCTCTGAGCTCTGCTCTTTGCCRTGGTGCTAAAATTCACACCCCGAGTGCGTCCGGGGCTGCGAGACCCTCCTGCCCTGGAGGGAAAGGTTCCAACAGGAACGGTTCAGCCCTCACTCGTCCAAACAMACATTTCACTGCATGCATTTTTCCCAAAGCCTCACAGCCCCCATAAACAAACCCCTCTGAGCTGTCTGGTGGTGCAGGTCCAGGTTTTTGTGGGGTGATTTGCGAAAGGAAGAGTTTGCCTTGCCCAGTTCACCTGGGTGAATCCTAACAGTGAATCCTAACGGTGGATCCTTAAGGTGAATCCTAACGGTGGATCCTAATGGTGGATCCTCATAGTGATCCTAACGGTGGATCCTAATGGTGGATCCTAACGGTGGATCCTAATGGTGGATCCTAACTGTGGATCCTAAACCCAGCCTTCCTCCCCGCATGGGGAGGCAGAAGCCCCACTAACGGCAGCAGAGATAAACAGAATTCCTGCTGAGCTCAGAACTAAATCTGTGATCGGTGGGAATGAAATCCTCTGCGCGGTGTTTCAAACACGCCTGGGGGAAGTGGCAACTGCCGGACACGCAGTGGCCACGGGGTCACTCTGAGGTTGGGAGCCCAACCCTCGGCCAACTCTGCTCCTTCCCTTCCCTATYCCCTCCTTTGTGTAACTCCAAGGTGTCAGTGAAGCTCCCAGGAGATGTAAACAAAGCGCTGGTATTTTGTACAGCTATGCATGCAGCGAGCAGTAGTTCTGTACGTGCTGTCTCCCGTCCTCGGCTGGGGGGTTTGGGAATTTCCAGTGGGATTTGCRGAGCAGATCATTCCGGGATGATCCGGAGTGGCTGCGGGCTCCGGCGTGCATGTAGGGAYGGCTGGTGACGCTGTGGCGGGGCTTGCACACTCTGTAAATCCAAAWTCGGGATTGTACGAGGGGACAGCAGTGACTGTATGGTTTTGGCTCTCTGGTGCCTTTCATCTGTCAATGTTTCTGTGCTTTCGAAAGTTGCAATAAATAAACCTCGTGCTACATCTAGCAAGTCATCTGTTTTGTATTCCTCAGCAAACCTGGGCAGGTTGTCCCCACCAGGGTTCTGAGCCCACAGCTCCTGTCAAGAGGTGAAATCCCAACCCTAAAAGTTTAATTTTTGAGGGCTCTGAGTGTGTCTCCTGCYGCTGGTTTCCTCACTGCCATCTCCACACCCAGAGCTACCAGCTCAAGACCGTTCCTGTGGTTAAATATCCAAATGGTTCCTGGCACTGYTCTGCCCCAGGCCCTTCCTCACAAAATTCCTGGCACTTTTAGGGACATCAGACAGCACAGGGACCATTCCCAGGAGGCTTCTGGGAAGGGTGTGTGGATGGTGTGAACCCCGAGGACAAAGAGCAGACCTGGGTGCATTTAATGCTCTGAGTTGAGCTCCCAAAACTCCTGGGCAGATTTGGAATGCTGGGCCTCATTTTCCAGATCTAATTCTGAGYCCATCCCTCCTCCTGCTGAGCATCCCATGGCAGTTCCAGCATCTGCAGGGGCTGGGTTATTTCCCACTGGATTCCCTGAGCTGCCCCCTCAAAGCAGGGAAGGTGGAGAGGCTGCACTGGGGTGATTCACCCTCCTCAGCCGAGGCTGGGGCAGGGCAGGGAATCACCAGCGGAGCCTCCGCTCCTGCTGGCCCAAGGGTGGCCAGCTCTGCTCGAGGCTTCAGGGGCTGCATTTGGRCCAAAACCCCACTCAAAACTCTCCTCCCATGTGCCTTCAGCCYGTTCCCATAAATCACAGAGAATGTGAGGAAATGGGGGTTCAGTGTCAGAGATGTGTGAAAAAGGACRTGGAGGAAAGGAATCTGCTTTCCTCTTTGTCTGGAGACCCCTGGGTTTGTCCTGTCACGCTGTAGRRGGCAAMATCCCAACATTCCAGGAGTGGAGAGCTCTCCCTGGATTTGTCCTGATAGGTTTTAGGGGRCAACATCCCAACATTTCATTCCAGGTATGGATAGCTCTSCCCAGGTTTGTTCTGTTACARTTTAGGGARCAWCATCCCAACATTTTATTCGGGGCATGGAGAGATCTCGCTGAATTTGTTCTGTTAGGTTTTAAGGCAACATCCCAACATTTCATTCTGGGCATGATGAGCTCTCCTTGGGTTTGTTCTGTTACGATTTAGGGRGCAGCATCCCAACATTCCAGGAATGGAGAACTCTACCTGGATTTGTCCTGTTAGGTTTTAGGGGGCAACATCCCAACATTTCATTCTGGGTGTGGAGAGCTCTCCTTGGGTTTTAGGTTTTAGGAGGCAAACATCCCAATATTCCAGGTGTGGACAATGTTCCCTGGATTTGTCCTATTAGGTTTTAGGGGAAAAAAATATYCCAACATTTCATCCCAAGTGTGGAGAGCTCTCCCCAGGTTTGTCCTGTTATGGTTTAGGGAGCAACATCCCAACATTTTATTCTGGGCATGGAGAACTCTCCCTGAGTTTGTTCTTTTGGGTTTTAGGACAACATTCCAACATTTCATCCCAGGTTTTAGGGGGAAACATCCCAGCATCCCAGGAGTGGAGAGCTCTGGTCAGGTTTGTCCTGTTCAGTTTTAGGGAGCAACATCCTGACATTTCATTCCAGATGTGGAGAGCTCTCCCCCAGTTTGTCCTGTGAGATTTTTGAGGAGCAACATCCCAACATTCCAGGTGTGGAGGACTCTCCCTGGATTTGTTCTCTTAGGTTTTAAGGAAGAAGCTTCCCAACATTTCATTCCAGGCATAGAGAGCTCTCTCCAGGTTTGTTCTATTAGGTTCTAGGGGAGCAACATCCCAACATTTCATCCCAGGTGTGGAGAGCTCTCCCTGCATCCTACCCACAGCCATAGGATCAGCTTTGATGTTTAGGGCTGTCCTATAACGAACAACACTCAGTGTTTAGGTGAGGTGTCAGGGCACGGCTTAAATCTTGGCCTAACCAAGTTTAGACAAAAAAATCCCTCAACCACAGGTGGCAATTTAACAGGGGAAAAGCAGATTTGGCCCAGGGGAGGTGGAGGATTCTTTTCTCCCGTGGGTTTTGTGGCTTTCTCTGTGCTGTGCCCTTGGCAGCAGAGACAGGAAATCACCCGGGAGTGCTGCCTGGTAGGTGTTTATGCCAGGCTGAGGTGGCTGAAATCCAGATTTGTGTGAGTGTGAGTGTTCATGTGGGGGAAAGCWGGAGGGTGAGGGTGTGAATCCTGCAGCTGCCTCCTCCCCAGATGTTCCCGATGTGTATTTTAGAGAGAGGATTATCCAAGGATGGAGATTTGGGCACAGACACCCCACATGCTCAGAGTCACACCAGTGTCTCCATCCCTCATTTTTCCAGCTGGTCAGAGCTGGTAAACATGGACGGGGCAATTAAAAAAACCCTGAGAGCTCATAGTAAATACAGCACAACCCTCAGGGCTCCAAATCCAGCAGGAGAGGCCCCATTTTTTAGGAAGGTGCCCTAATTCCAGCCCTGGGGCCGCTGCTGGCTCTGCTGGGGYTGTTTGTGTGTGCCTGCCAGTGATTTTGTCTGTAATCATGGATTGTTTTGCTCTTTTGGGGAGATAGGTTCATTTGCCTTCGCTCCTTTCTAATGAAGGTCGAAAAGATCTAACTAGAGCTGAGAAGGAAGAGGAGAAAAGGGGAAAATCAGAAGAAGAGGCTCTTGTGACCAAGCGAGGGGAGCCGGTGAGGATCAAGATCTTTGAAGGAGGGTGAGTGTCTCRTTTTATTTCCTTTTCTGTGTCTCGTGTTGGTGTGGAATTGCTGCGTTGATGGCGAGGTGCTGCGGGAGGTGTGCAGGCGGAGCTGGATTTCAGTTTATTTCCCACATCCGCTGTAAAAGCTCGGCCCTCCAGGTCTGGAGTGCGTTAATTCCACATTTTTTGAGCTGTTTTTAAGTCAGCAATCACCCGGATCTCTGGTCTGAGTGGGTGGTTGCACAAACTCATCTCGGAGCTGGCTCTGAGGTGACAGAGGTGCACTCTGGATCTCCTCAACCTCTCCAGAGCCTTCCCCTGAAAATGATTTTCCTGATGGTCATTCCCATTAGGAGCAGGAGGGTCTGGGGGAGGTCTTCCCTGATGCCTGGGGTTCAGTTTGGGGAACAAAAGGAGCTTTGTGTTAATGGGATTTCCCATCCCACCCAACCAAAACAGCTCAAACTGCAATGGATTTCCCATCCCACCCAACCAAAACAGCTCAAACTGCAATGGATGCACGGCCTTGGTTTGATGTATGCCTCAAACCTCGGCTCCAGGTAATCCAGAGGACGCCTCAGGAATTCAGCTCTGGTCTAATGCTGATGATTGTTTTTAATTTTTTTTTTTTTAATAGCTAATAAGTGATATGTCTGTGGGGTACGATTAAAGATCATCCTTCCTGAGTGCTGCAGAGGGGGCCAAATTGGTGTAAAAGCAATTCTCAGCAGCATTTTCATCAGTTCTGCCCTTGCTGTTGGGTGGTCTTGGTTTCTGTGAGTCAGAAAAAGGCTTTCATTGGTCAGCGCCTGTGGTTTTCTGCTGTCACCAGTTGAAATTTGCTTTTATTTTAAAATTCCTCATTAGCAGAGGGTCCAGCTAGCACAGCAAGGGGGAAGCCCAGTGCTGTGGGACAGGAGAGCCACTTGTTCGGTAGGAGAGTTCAGCTGTGCCCCCGGTGTGGGATCGGGGTGTGCCCGGCTCAGGTTTGGGTCCATGGGTGGGGAGTGGGGGACGCAAACAGGGCCAGCTCTGTCCTGGTAATGACTCAGGGAGCAGCAGAATGGGAAATTGGATGGGCTCAGGGAGTCTCTGCCACCCTCCTGTGGCAGATGGGACCCGTGGGAGCCACCAGGATGGGTTTTATTCTCTTCAACCCCATGGGAGCCTCAGTTCCTCCAGGCTGGGCTGTCCCTATGGCTGTGCAGGGGGACTCGGCGTTCCTGGCTGGAATTGAAGCAGCTCAGCATCACCAGGACAGGAGAATCCCTGTGTCCCTCTCAGAGCAGCTCAGGGGCGCTTTGGGGTGAGATTGGGGCTGTCCCCCGGGAGGAGCTGCAGCTCAGGGGCGCTTTGGGGTGAGATTGGGGGTCCCTTTGGCTGTCCCCAAAAGGAGCTGTTGTGCTCCCATCCCGTGGTCACACAGGGGTGGCTTTGTCCCCAAGSCCGGTGCAGCGCAGTGACAGCGGGGTCTGTGCTGGTGTCGGGGTCAGTCKGGGAATGTTCCTGATCTGCTGCCATTCCCGGGGTGACACATGAGAGCAGAGRGGTGGGGACACTCAATCCGTGTCCTGCTCCATGACAGACCCAAACCAAGGCATCTTCTCCAAGGGGTTCCGTGCCATCCAGCCCTAGGGATGTGCTGGCCACCCCAAAGCTTGGGTAGGTGGGGTTTGAAACCTCCTGGGGCTCTGACTCTGTCCCTGGGGGTCTGACACAATGGCATGCGCCACCGGGACACACCAGGTCACAGCAATGAGTCCGTGTCTGGATTCCAACTCTGAATTCCGTGTCTGGATTCCATCTCTGGATTCCGTGTCTGGATTCTATGTTTGGATTCCATCTCTGGATTCCATGTTTGGATTCTATCTCTGGATTCCGTGTCTGGATTCCATGTTTTAATTCCATGTTTGGATTCCATCTCTGAATTCATCTCTGGATTCCATGTTTTTATTCCATGTTTGGTTTCCATCTCTGGATTTCTTCTCTGAATTCCATGTTTTTATTCCATGTTTGGTTTCCATCTCTGGATTTCTTCTCTGAATTCCATGTCTGAATCTCGTGGCACTGCCCAGGGCCAGCAGGACGGGCTGTGCTCTCAAGGTTCTCCGTGTGCTTCATGCCTCATTGCCACAAAATTTCTGATTTTGGGGTGTTCAGCCCCAGCAGCCAGGACCTTTACCCACTGCTCTGTTCCAGGGGCCTGCCAGGACCTTTTCCTTCTGCTCTTTTCCAGGCATCTTGCAGGACCTTTTCCTGCTGTCCTTTTCCAGGGGTCTGGCAGGACCTTTTCCCTCAGATCAATCTGCAGGGTGCTTGCTGCCTTCTGCAAGGTCCCAAATGGATCAGGCCTTTCCTGGCCATCTCTCAAAAATGTTTTACACAAAGTGCAGCCATTTTCAGGACATTATTTCGCTCYCTTATTTTCTTCTTTCCCCATAAAAACGTCCTTCTGGATTCATTTCCCCCCTGATTTATCGGTTCCACACGGAACACTCCTGGCCAGACCCCTCCTTCCAGGGGGATGCATCCATTTGCTTTCAGGGCTTTTGGAGCCATCCCACACTTCGTTGTCTCAACCAAGGGGGGAGATTATCAGGAAATCCACAAAAGGTGACCYTGGAGCTCCTCTTCCCSTCYGTTTTTATTCCTTTCRAGYTCTTGCCTTTCTCTCTGCCGTTTCYAACCCTTTTCCCTCAGTGCATTTTCCTGCCTTCCCCAATCCCAATACTTTCCCCCTTTGCCATGCTCCTTAGAGCACTTCCAGGAGCAGGTCTGAGTTTTCTCCTGCATCTCTTCAGTCTCCCAGCTGGAATTATATGGAGTTATATTCCTTGGCTTTCAGGGAAGGCCAGAGAAGCCAAATTTCCTCCTTCCACCATTTCCCCGTTCACATTTGTCAGCAATAAAAGACAAACCTGCCAGAGCACTGGGGGCAGCCTGACTGTCCTTCCCTCCCTTGGAGGGAGCCTTCCCAGCCTCTGGAAGTGAATGGTTCCTTTGCTGGTGTTTTCCCACTGGGAGCGGGTTTGGATGCAGTGTTTGCAGGTTCCTCGAGCCCCGAGGTTCCTGCCTGGCTTTGGGATCCCAGTAACGCCCAGTTCCTTCCTCCCTGCTCTCTCCATGGAGGATTTGTGGTGCCCAGCTGAGGATGTGGCCCTGGAGCTRCCAGGAGGACCTGCCTGGGGATGTTTCCAGCTCCTGGGGAGTTCTCAGCCCCTTCAGCACCGAMCCCCTGATGGGAAGAGGCTCTCAGACCCTTTGAGGGGCTCAGGTTCCCTGGAAACCTCAGGAGAGACRTGCATGGTGCTTCCTTAACCTCTCCAGATCAAACTGGGGATCCACTGAGTTTTCTGTTTAAATARCAAATTCCTCTTGGAGAGCGAATCCTGAGGTCACTCCACGTGCAATTTCAGCCATGGGTTTTTATTTGGAGTCCTGGGATCGTGTCAGGCTGGAAATATCCCTGTTCAGAGCAGATGGCCCCGCACTGCAGCGGAGGCTGGAGTCGTGTAACACCCCCAGGACGGGCTGAGGCTGCCCAGGCTCCTCGGGCTGCGCCTGCAGAGCCATTAACAGGGCAGCTCGATGTCTGTGCTCCTCAAGGAGCAATCCAAACATCCCTGGGCTCCTCCTGAGGGACGCTCGGGCAGTCTGGAGCAGGGAAGATGATCTCTGAAGGTCAGGCTGGCCAGCAGCACTGCGGGAGGAGGGCTGAGACTCCTCGGTGGTGCGGGGTCGCCTTCATCCCCCTCTGGTGCCTTTGGGAGATCTGACATCATGAAACCAGAGATCRGCATCGACCCGGACTGAGAGCGGGGTCTGCGCTGGGGTCAGGGAGACATCGCGGTTCGCTGCCATTCCCAGGGTGACATCTGAGACCAGAGGGCTGGGGGCACTCWGTCCATGGCCTTCTGCCTCACAGCCCAGCCCTCTCTGCTGGTATGGGCACAATTAACTGGTTTMTTTAATTAGTYGATTGTAAAGAAATGTGTYCCTGGGAAAACCCAGGAACAAGATWGATAAAGTTAAGAACCTTAACRGGCATCCCCAATTCAGTGCCATGTGGAGTGAAAACTACATTTGCTCTTTGGAAAACCGTTCCTTTATTTCCTACTTTAGGGAAAAGATGAGGGGAGGTGCATGAGGTTGGACTTTGCGTTTGCTGGTGAGCCCCAGGCTGGAACTTCCCTTCCCTTCCCTTCCCTTCCCTTCCCTTCCC